ATTTTTCAGAGTTGATATTGTATTCTCATAGTTATCTTTTTCTTTTTTAAGAATATCTATTTCTTTTTGTAATTTTTCATTGGATGATTTTAATTCATCAATTTCTGATATTTCACTAGGTTCATCGTTGTTTTTTTGTTTAATAATTTGTTCAACGATTTCTTTTAAATTATGATGATCAAATTCGTTATCTTTAGAATTTTTTTTTCTTTTTTTTGGTTTTTCATCGCTCATTTTAAATGAATTTAATAAAAAGTTAAAAATCAAATATAAATAAAAATTAATTATTATTAATTTAATTATTCATATTAATAATAAGGTAAAATTTTTGTGTGACTAAAAAATGTTATAAAAAAAAATTTAAAAAAATAGAAGGAAATCAAAAAAAATCCAAATATTAAAACAAAAAATAAAATGGAAGATAATGGAAAATATTCTGTATATGTTTGTTTGGATACTGGAGATGTTGTGAATAGTTTTCCAAGAGATAGTAATTTAACATACAAAGGATTTACTGATGTAAGTTTTGCGTCAGAAGTTTCAGTTAGACTTGTTAGTTTTTATAATAAACTTAAGGAAGAACGAGAGAAAAAAGATCCAGAATATTTTTATATCAATATCGTTCAACAAACTAAGAAGAAACTTTTAGGAAAAACCATGGTAGCGATTTATAGATTAGATTCGAAACTTGAGAAGAGTGATGTTACACTTATTGATCGTGTGGAAGACGATGGTCAAAATACCAATTCTTTATATTTATCATATGATCTTATTAAACGAAGTATTGTTAGTAAAGAACAATATAAAGATAAAAATATTATTATAATTAGTAATAATTCAGCATTATCAAATATTTTTAAATATAAATTTTATAAATGGTCAACTAATAATTTTAAAAAAGGAGTTGATGTCGTTACTGATGAAGATTATGACGGAATTTCAGATACGGAAAAAAATGAAAAATTAACTGAATTTTCATATATTGATAATGCAGATCTTTTAAAGGATATTTTAAAATATATGAAAATTAATAATAATACTATTAATGGTCTTACTTCATTTAAGGAAGTTTCACATATTATTGATAAAGTTAGACAAAGGATTAATAGTAGTGAAAGTAAATTTAAAAATAAAAAAAATAGAAAGTGATTTAATTAATTTGATAATTTATATTTGTGTATCTTTCCTTTTTAGTTTTTTAAAATTTAGAAAAATCCAAAAAAATTTAAAAATTTTTAAAAAAGATTTAAAAAATATTACGTAATATTACTTATTTTTATTATTTTTTATTTTATTATTTTATTATTTTTTATTTTGTTTTTTTCCTATTCCAGCAAATAAATTAATAAATCTATTTCTTGTATTTCTTGATGTTCCCTGTTCTGTATCTTCATTTTCATATGTGATACTGATTTGGTTTTCTTCAATCAATTCAGATGTTACCGGTGTTAAAACTCTAACTTGTATTTGTTGTTCTTGTTGATTATTCAATTCTCTTTGTGGGTTAGGATTATGTTCATATTCAATATTTTCAATTATTGAATATTTTGAAGATGAGCGTGATAATCCTTTTTGATATCTGATTGTTTCACCCGAATCATCAGAATCTAATTCGTCATGTTTTCATTTTTGAAATGCTACATTATCAACTATGAAAGTTATACCACTTGAACTTTGTGGTTCTACTCTAGCTTCTCCTATTTCCTGACCAGTGGATGACATATGTTTAATAAGTCCTTGCATATCTTGCTGATTTTGTTCAGTTGAGGAACCAGGTATTCCATAAGGTTCTTCATTAGGTTGAATATCTGTTAATTCTGGAAATTCTGTGAATATTAGTTGATTATTTGGCAATTCTTGTATTTGTGAGCCGGGTGTGTTTGTTATTTCTCTGATTCGCGGACTGTTAATTCTGATACGATATCTAGGTCTAAATTGTATTTCTCTCCTTCGATTAATTCTAAAATTTCTTCTGTTATTTGTAATTGTGTTGATGATAGAATTAATAAATCCTTGTTGTCTTTCATCAAATTGACGGTTGATTGTATTGTACAAATTAGTTCTAAATTCTTCAAACATAGTTTCAAAAGTTTGATCATTGTTGATTACGATTGGTTGTTGATTTTGAATTTGATTTTGTATAGTGTTTATAGTATTTCTAAATTCGTTTCTGATATTTGTTAATTCATTGATAAAATTTTCTATTCTTTCGATTCTACGTAAATCTTCTTGTCTCATTAAACCTGTTCCTTGATTCATCTCACCGAATCTTCTGATTATATCATTATAATGTTGATCTATATTTTGATAAATTTGTCTCAAATCTTCATTGTTTCTTATAATTTGTTGTTGATTTTGGTTTTGAACTGTTTGTATTATATTTTCGTAATCATTTCTAGTATTTCTGATATCGGTAGTTAGTTCTTGATACCCGTCCACATATCTTTGTCTTAAATTTTCAATTCTTCTAACAATATCGATGTTTTGAGCATTTTGACGAGTGTTTAGATTATTAAAATTATTATTTTGTTGATTAATTAGATTTCTTATCTGATTTAATAAGTTTAATTGATCATTTTGATTAGTATTTAAATTTCGTATATTATTATTTAATTGATTTAATGCGTTGTTTTGTGTGTTAAACAGATTTCTTATAGTATCTCTAAACTGTTGTCTTCCAGCTCTGATATCTTCTCTTAATCTATCGATATTATTGTTTAAATTTTGTTGATTTGGTTGTTGATTTTGTTGTGTTTGTGGTATATTATTTTGAGGGAAAGGATTATTGTTATTATCATCATCATCACCATTATTATCATTATTACCATTATTATTATTTCTTGGTGGAATTTGTCTATTTGGTCTTTGATTGTTATTTGGAGGTCCTTGACCTATGTTATTTGGCATTTGAATTCCATTTTCAATATAATATAATCTTTGTTCTCTAAGTGATCTTACCAATCTAGGATTAATACAGTTTTGATTTCGACATGGGGCATTTGGATCATTTCTAGCATGATTTTCATTACCACAACATCCGCAAGCGGCTATGTAATTTGGTATACGTCTTCTTCTTGGTCTGTATGGAATTTGTCTGGGTCTATATGGTTGGTAATAAGGTCTGTATTCAATATCAAACCAAACATTTGGTAATACAATTACTGGATAAATACACGAAATGGTTTTTATTAAAATAAAAAATAACAATAAAAATTTATACATTTCTAATCATAAATTCTGGTATTATTTTATGTTTGAATTTATATTTAGGACTATTTTTAAATTTGTTAAGGCCCTGTATTAATGCTCTTTTATGATTGTTATCTACCCTAAGTCTTCCAGATTTACGAATATTACAATTTTTGCTACTATGACCGATGGCACCACACCAACCACACATTCGTAAGGGATAGTATGGTGCTTCAAAATATT